AGTTGTGGAAAAGAAACGTGTTATGGCACAGAATTTTGTTTCTGGTGGCCTGCCGTTATTTTGACTGCATGCAGGATAGGCTATTCCATGTAACATTTTTCTCCATATAAATTGGAATTGCCATAGTCTTTTTTAAAAAATAAAATTGTTGTTTTTATCGTATTGTTTTCAGCAGCTCATGAGGCAGGTCATACACCACCGGTGCTGCAAGAAGCCATCTACTCTCCAACAAGAAATTTGTAAATCTCCTTCCTCAAAGCAGGAGGGATACTTGCGATGGAGCACTGCATTGCAGAAACCCGCATGCAGAGTCTTTTAATGTGGCTTCCCAGGAATCTCTCCCATTCCTACTACCCACCTTAGATGTACAGGAAGGATTTGTCGGTTGGCAGTGAATCTGGTTGGCCATGTTGTGGATGTACTTGCCATGCCATCAAGTCCTAAAGTAGGATGAAAATGGAGCTCCTGTTTCAGAGGCAGGGACACAACCCACTGTGCCAAATGGGCTCCTACAAAATCTGTAAATGACCTGGCTATGGATCAGGAGACTCCTCTGTGTTTTTTACTTCAGTGACAGCTGTGATGATACTCAAACATAATCCTGTTTGCTAGCCTGACTTCACAAAATATTATCTTGTTTGTAATCACCTTGGCATGCCTGACTAGCTGCAATGTTGGGCTCTCCTTCCAAAACATGGCAATGACAGTATGTCACAGTTTCAGTGGCACTGCATTCCAGGATGTTGATCATTTATCAAATGATGTGTAACTGTACTTGGGTTTTTCCTGATTTGTCTTTATCAAGGCCCTGTCATCTCCTGTCTTTTCATTAAAGTTCATTGATCCAGTTTTAGAAATATCGATTGTCCATCAAACCATAAATCACAAATAGGTCATTAATGTTTCCTGCACCACGTTCTACCAAAAACTGCTATTTGAATGGTTTGAAAAGTACAATAATTTAAGCTCTAAGGCATTTTTATTCCCTCTGTGAGCCCTGTATTATCAATGGGTACAGCTAGGTTTTTTCGCATCTGGTTATTTGTTGCCATAGGGGGTCTTAACAGAAAATAGTTGGGAATTTCATCCTGATAAACTTCAACCCAGTTATCCTATGGGGATGCTGTATCTAGGCACTAGAACCAACAGTTATAGACCAGTGAACCTTACTTCGGTTGTGAGTAAAATGTTGGAAAGGATTATAAGAGATAGGATTTATAATCATCTAGAAAGGAATAACTTGATTAGGGATAGTCAACACAGTTTTGTGAAGGGTAGGTCGTGCCTCACAAACCTTATTGAGTTCTTTGAGAAGGTGACCAAACAGGTGGATGAGGGTAAAGTGGTTGATGTGGTGTATATGGATTTCAGTAAAGCGTTTGATAAGGTTCCCCATGGTAGGCTATTGCAGAAAATACGGAGGCATGGGATTGAGGGTGATTTAGCGGTTTGGATCAGAAATTGGCTAGCTGTAAGAAGACAGAGGGTGGTGGTTGATGGGAAATGTTCATCCTGGAGTTTAGTTACTAGTGGTGTACCTCAAGGATCTGTTTTGGGGCCACTGCTGTTTGTCATTTTTATAAATGACCTGGATGAGGGCGGAGAAGGATGGGTTAGTAAATTTGCGGATGACACCAAAGTCGGCAGAGTTGTGGATAGTGCGGAAGGACGTTGCAGGTTACAGAGGGACATAGATAAGCTGCAGAGCTGGGCTGAGAGGTGGCAAATGGAGTTTAATGCGGAAAAGTGTGAGGTGATTCACTTTGGAAGGAGTAACAGAAATACAGAGTACTGGGCTAATGGTAAGATTCTTGGTAGTGTGGATGAGCAGAGAGATCTCGGTGTCCATGTGCATAAATCACTGAAAGTTGCCACCCAGGTTGATAGCGTTGCTAAGAAGACGTACGGTGTGTTAGGTTTTATTGGTAGAGGGATTGAGTTTCAGAGCCATGAGGTCATGTTGCAACTGTACAAAACTCTGGTGCGGCCGCACTTGGAGTATTGCGTACAGTTCTGGTCACCGCATTATAGGAAGGATGTGGAAGCATTGGAAAGGGTGCAGAGGAGATTTACCAGGATGTTGCCTGGTATGGAGGGAAGGTCTTATGAGGAAAGGCTGAGGGACTTGAGGCTGTTTTCGTTGGAGAGAAGAAGGTTAAGAGGTGACTTAATAGAGACATACAAGATGATCAGAGGATTAGATAGGGTGGACAGTGGGACCCTTTTTCCTCGGATGGTGATGGCTAGCACGAGGGGACATAGCTTTAAATTGAGGGGTGATAGATATAGGACAGATGTCAGAGGTAGGTTCTTTACTCAGAGAGTAGTAAGGGCGTGGAATGCCCTGCCTGCAAAAGTAGTAGACTCACCAACTTTAAGGGCATTTAAATGGTCATTGGATAAACATATGGATGATAATGGAATAGTGTAAGTTCGATGGGCTTCAGATTGGTTTCACAGGTCGGCGCAACATCGAGGGTCGAAGGGCCTGTACTGCGCTGTAATGTTCTATGTTCTATGTTCTATAGGGGCCCAGTACCAACCAAGGAGATTTCCATTGTGATATGTATTAACAATGTGTTAATTTGCAACACATTTCCTGTTTTATTTTGAGCATGCAAAAGATAGCAAGCCAGGAGGAGGCCTATTGAAAACTCTGAACAACCGTGAGTTTCCACTGTAAATGACATCATGTTGTAATGTTGTTTTTCTTGGTTGAGATTATGATCATCGTCACATCGAAGTGATGTATAATTTCCTTTAAACTTTGACGCTAATGTTTGAAAATGACAAATCTATTGCCAAGTGGGTTGTTGCATTTTGATGCATTCCTTTGCTTATTCTTCACTCAGCATGAGTTAATTGACTGTAATAACAAATCCGTTCTCAGGTGCGATTAAAGTTTTTATTTTCAATTTGACTCCTAATTTCCCATCACTTCAGCTCTATATTTGAAATATTTATATATCCATCATTTGCTGCAGGCCTGCAGATGCCCTATTTTGGTGATGAATGTTGTTCTTTTCCTTAAAAAAAAGTGGTAAATTGTTTTTCATGACTTTTGAAGTGACCACTGCTGTTTTTTTTTACTGTCTCTCTTTGTATCCACCTGTGAGTTTGAATCTTTGCTCCCACTCATCTCTGCATGACTAGTGTTTGGCAAATAGCCAGACAGTGCAGTGATGATAGAAAAGCATGGAGACAGCAAGCCATTTTAAACCACTTCAAGGACTCTGGTTATTTATTTATTTCTAGGTTTTTTTTTCACAAAAAAAAGTGCTTTCTGGATGACACCATAAGCTGATTTGGAGGATGATAGAGGGATGGACGTATTACTGGGAAGCAGAAGTTGTAACATCTTTCTGTATCAACAAATTTAGCTGCACTTGAACTTAACAGCAATTTAAAAAATGGCTTGATCCTAATGTTAATGTTGCAAGTATGTGGTATAAATTGGATGTTAAACTCGAGCTGACAGTGATATAAAATAGAATGATACTCCTCAACAATGGGAAGCTCATTCTGCTTCACACCAGAGTCAGGTTTGAAACCTGACTCTGAATTCAGACTCTATAATAATACTCTATAATTGTGAGTGCTGATGTGAAAAGAAGTCACTTTGTGCAAACCTACATTTGTAGTGTAAAAGCAATATAAAAGAGAAGGGTTAAACTCAATTCATGAACACTCCCTCAGCAGCGCACAATGTCGTACAAGTTCATCTACTCAGTTCCTGGTCAATAGGCAGCTCAACTCAAATTACCAGCATTATTCAGCCACAGTGCAGTGTACTGACATCATACATTCATGGATTCACAGAATCCTTTGTATCACAGGAAAGGCTCTCTCTAAGTTTATTTCGTTCAGGTGCCTATCCAATTGCCTTTTGAATTCATTCATAACCTCTCTTTACACATTGACACAGCAAGTTCCAGGTCATTACCATTCACTACGTAAAAAATGTATTCCTTTCATTCCACCCTCTTGTCTAAAACTTTAAATCTGTGTTCTCCAGTCTCTGTACGATCAAC